TTTATACATGTACATGTATGTTTATAAATGTACATGTACGTTTATACATGTACATGTATGTTTATAAATGTACACATATACGTTTATACATGTACATGTATGTTTATAAATGTACACATATACGTTTATACATGTACATGTATGTTTATAAATGTACACATATACGTTTATACATGTACATGTGTGCATTTATGAGTATGTGAACACTTTTCATCACACATGCACAATGTGCCAACCCCTCCCCCACCCTCCTTCCCTCCACCTCCCCTCGGCACGCACCTGGGTCCAGATAGCTGAATATATGATGTGTGAGATTCGGTGGCAGCCAGGAGAGCAGGTCACGACAGTTCGGGGGACATGTTGCGTGTAACACCGGCTCCAGACACGTCGACAGCAGGTGCATCTGCGACACTCCGCACTTCGCCTGCGGGAAGGAGTCGCGAGGTCAAAGGTAGTGAGGTCAAGGGTCACAAAGTTAAGGGTCACACGTGGGGGAGGTCGTGGTCGAGGGATAGCGTATGATTGTGATTATTCGTGTGTGAACGATGGCTATTGATCGCGTACACACGATCACGCCTGATTGTACGCAGAATCGCTGTTATTCATGTACGCACGATCACTTTTATGCACGATCACGCACGATCATTGTTATTCACGTATGCATGACAATACACGATCACTATTGATCAAGTTCACACAATCACACACGATCACCGTCAACAATGTAGCGCAATCGTATGTACATCACAATTTATCTCAGTAAATCACATACACACGATCACCATTACTAACCATTAGTAACCATTAATTACAATCAATCACCATTAATTACAATTAATCACCATTTAACCAACACCACTAGTAGATCTACTAGCGTCGCGACTCACCAGCAGTTTCTTTAGCATCAAGTTCTTCTGGTTTTCGCTGAACTCTGTGAACCACTGCAGCATCACCTGCAAATCCATGTTTCACTGGTCAGCAGACGACCCCCCAATATTTACACCAACGACCGACCGACGATACCAACACAGCAACACACACACACACACACACACCAATCTAGTGACTCAGACACTGACAAAGCAATACACACACTGACGAAGAGACTGCCTGATCCAGGCACACACTGAACCACTGACTCACTGATCCAGTAACCGAGCAACACTGACACTGCAGCAGCGGCGCACGCGCCAACACACAGTGAGAAAGCAAAGTGAATACACACACACGCAGCGACCCCGCTCTATCGTGCAGGCACGCGCGCAGGTGCGACGGACGGCGTTGCCGCGGCGACCGCGTGCTCGCGAGGATGAGGATGCTGCGATCACGGATGCTGCGATCACGCGCACACGCGGCGATGCAGATGCGAGACTTCCCCCTTACGACGCCATCGCACCTCAGTCTCCGAGGGGAGGGGGGGGGAAGAAGGAGAAGGAGGTAATATGCACACGTGTGCAAGGGGGAAGGCAGAGGGGGAAGCCAGGGGGAGGAGAAGAAGGAGAAGGAAGCGATATGCACGCGTGAGCGAGGGGAGAAGGCAGACGGAGAAGCCAGGGGGAGGAGGGAGGTGCGCATTTCAAGGAGAGTGGAGAGCGAAGAGTATCAGATGCGGTGCGGAGATGGGCGCCTTACGGCGAACAAAGAAGGGAGGCGCTTCCTCTCCTAGACACACGTGTCTTCCTTTGTTGTGCCAGCAAATGTATAATATATATAGATAAATAGGTAGGTAGATAGATAGGTAGGTAGATATATATATATACATATATATACACCAGTAACTGTATGCGTGTTGATCACGTACGCATGCAAATGATGCGCGATTAGGGCGATCTGCATCGAATCTGAATTGTAGATGAGGGCGGCTTTGTGTGTGGAGGCTTCGGCCGCATCCGCAGTCTGTTTGTTGTTAAAAGCATCTGTAACACGGCCCAGAATAGAACAGAGTTCTGCGCATGCATGCACACACGCACGCACATGTACGCAGGCACGCACACACACATACAAACATACATGCAAGCACACGTACGCAGGTATGTACGCGCACATACAAACACACACGCACGCACATGTACGCAGGCAGTGCCAGGCACGCACACACACATACAAAAACACGCATGCACATGTATGCAGGCACGCACACACATACAAACACACATATGCACGTACATGTACGCAGGCACGTACACGGTACACACACATACAAACAAACACACGCATGCACATGTATGCAGGCACGTACGCACACACACACACATGCCTGGACAAGAAGCATTCCACCCCTTTCTCTCACTGTCCCCCTCTCTCTTAGTCTCTCTCCCCCTCTCCTTCTCTGTCTCGCTCCCCACCTCTGCCTCTCTCTGTCTCCCTCCTCACCTCTCCCTCTCTGTGTCTCCCTCTCCACCTCTCCCTCTCTGTGTCTCCCTCCCCACCTCTCCCTCTCTATGTCTCCCTCCCCACCTCTCCCTCTCTA